AGAAAACGCGGATTAACTCCTGGAAACTTGCGAACGCATACCTAGTTCTGATGTGGTCGTTGGGGTTGCTAGGAGGACCTGGGCTGAATCCGTTTGCCTCTTGTGTGATTGCTGCATGCACGTTTCTGCTGAGCCTAGATGTCAGATTCCATACAGCCCCAACCAGCTTGGCCCCAACATCTTCCATTTCCAATTTCCTTTCATCGCCACCTCCGGGCAGTGAGGCCAGTTAAATCCCACAGAGAGCGCCCCTGTGAACTAATGCATATGAATCCTCACCTATTTTCCTTTCAGTTGGCAGAGTTGGAAACAGAGTGGAAAGTACAGTCACGGAAAGGATGTGAAACACTTGGTTTTAAATGATGGCACTCTTGTTTACCCAGTTCTCTATTTATAATCAACTCCACTAGAGAAAGAAAGAAGTTTTCGAAAAACAACCATTCGGTGATCTTATAATAGAATGGTTTACTTATCTACCACCTCCAGTCTTTTTGTTGTTGTAGATAAGTTTCCTGAATGAAGCATAACTTTTATTGAGCAGCTAGCTAGACAATCCTTATATAGCAAGCATTCTTAGGCACATGTGGGGTACTGTCGATTAGACATGATGGCAATCCTAAGAAACTACACCATCTACGCAGAGAGACAGCTAGTAAATCCAAATGGCGATATTGCAGTTTGGCCAGAGCTTTGTTGACGTTAAGAACCAGGTGTAGTGGGTGTGTCCTGGAGGGGCCCCAACAAGCTTGCACAGAGAAGCATCAGAGGGCCATCAGGTGCACGGAGGAGGTGACTTCCTCAATGGAACTGCAAGGCAGCCCATGTGAACAAAGAGAGAAAGTTTCCAGAAGATACACTGTACAGAGAGAGAGAAATGGAGAAGACTGCACTTCTAGGAATTGCTAATAATTCAGTATGACAGCCCTGGTGGCATAGAGGTTATGCATTAGGTTGGTAACCACAAGGTCAGCAGTTCAAAACCAGCCACTCCGCAGGAGAGAAATGGGCTTTCTACTCCATAAAGAGATACAGTCTCGGAAACCTTCAGGGGCAGTCCTACCCTGTCCTATACGATCGATCGCTCTGAGTCAGCATTGACTCGATGGCAGTGAGTGTGGCTTGGTTTGAGAGCGTGGGACTCGGGGTTGTGAATGGCGAGGACTGTGTGAACAATGCATGCAGTATGCACAGAAGGCATACTGTGTTGACAAGTGTAAATTTTCCCGGGAGATAGTGAAAATTGTTTAAAAAGGAAACGATCATATTTTGTTTTTAAAAGCCCCCTGTCGACAAAACAGAAATGGAATTGGAGGAAGACCAGCAATAATCTAGGCAAGAAGAGATGGGGGCTTGAACCAAAGCCTCATCTGTAGGAATCGAAGGAGAGGAGGAAGAGTTAAAGACCTGCAAACAGTCAAGGCAATCGAGTCAGATCTATTTGGAAATAAAGAATACTGGAAGTGGAGAATGCAGCCAGCTCTTCACTTGGGCCCCTGAGTAAATGCTGATACTACTGATCAAACTGGGAGTATGGGAGGAAGAGTACATTTGTGGGGCAAGGCCATACAGAGGTAAAAATAGAGGGATTATAGAGTTGAGGGGGTATATCCTGATTTGGACCTCGGAAAGGAGGTTTCCGGAAATGTACATCCATTACTTTGAAGCTATGGTAAGAGATGTCTTTCATCATTCACTCAGTAAATTTGTGTTCGGATGTTCCGCACAAGATACTAGGATTTAATGGTGAACAACATAAATGTGATTTTAGAACTCATGAAGCTGATGACCGGCAGGGTCGATAAAGCATTAAGCCGTAACTATTCCATTACATTGATGTCTGAGTTATGGGCCCAGCAAGCTTCTGCTATGAGTTGGAATCAACTCCATGGTGTAGTGAGTTTCGCTTTTAAGTTTTATTCCATGACCTTGGGTTAAGTGCATAGGTTCAATAAAGTTGTATGGTGGTGGTAGGTGAGTGACTTCCCAGATGCAGAACTAAAAGGCTTAGCCAAAGTCAGGCATGAGCTGAACTCTCAATAATGATTGAGAATTAACAAGACACAAATGGAAGTGGAAGGAATACCCCAAAGTGTGCCAACTCCAAGCAGAAAGAACAGAATGTGCCAAGGCCCTTAGATGCTAGGAGATGGTACATCACAGGAATTGAACGAAGAGTGAAGCTGTTACAGCACAGAACAAGGGGACTGTGACATGATGTGAGACTGGTGAGGAACCCAGAGCCAGACTGTAGAGGGCTTTTAGCACACGTTACGCAAGTTTCTGTCTCTGACCTGATAGTAATGGGAAACCACTGGAAGGAATTCAAGTAGAAGAGAGACATAATAGACTAACTAGTGTGACTGTTTAGAGAGGACAGTAGAGAGATGAAGACAGAACCTCGGGGATGGGAAGAGAAGCCAAAGAGGAAACCGAGAAGGAGGGAGAAACTAGAAGACTTAACGGAAAATGTGGCAGAAGACAGGAAGAGGATAGAGTGTGAAGGAGGAGGGAGGGTCTGTGGTATGTAAATGGCTAAAAACAGTCAGACTTTAGCAACCAGAAGGCTTTTGAGAACCGAAGTCAAACAACAGTTTTACTACAGAGGCAGAGACAAGCCAGGTTTCTTCAAGTTAAGACTGTTATCTCCAGGAAATGGGTGGGCTGGGCAGGAGCTGGAAGGGATGCAGTGGCCAGAGACTTGTTACCATGGGAAGGGCTTGACTGTATCATGCTGCAGATTCATTGGAGGTGTTGAAAGGTGTGAAAAGGAGTATTTGAATTTTACTGTTCCCTCCAAGACTACTCACTCACTCACTGACACTCAGTCATTCTGACTCTTATAGGGCAAAGTAGAACTTCCCCTGGGACTCTCTGCTAGAGTAGAATGCTTCATCTCTGCCCACCCCTAGCCTTCTGGATACCAAAACAAAGATTCCCAGGGATCAACAAGTTTATAATGAATTTAACCAAAATGGTTACACTGTCAGCCCCTTGTAAATTGGCCACAGGAGATTTTGTTGTATTACCATATATACTCGAGTATAAGCCGACCTGAATATCAGCCAAGGCACCTAATTTTGCCACAAAAACTGCATTAAAAATGTGCAGAGAAACCTTGGCTTATACACGAGTATATATGGTAAATTATCTCTGGAAGAGCATTCTAAAAGCAAATGATTTTCATTTGTATGTGGGCAGCCTGAGTACCCAGATTGTCTAAGGAATATTAAGTCCTATCCCTTGCCTCTCTAAGAGCTGCCCTTCATAAATTAATTTCCAGGTCATGGTAAGCCTCAGTGAGAGTCATCAGAGCTTGATGATAGGCACTGATCATGCCAATCTGTATGCCTCATTAATTCCATATGGATGTAGTCCTATCTAGCTGGACCTGGAGTTGTCTTCTGTCTCCTTTTTTTTTTTCTGAGACTTTTTCCCCCCTCTAAGGAACTTTATCCCCCTTTCCTCTCTTACAAATTGCAACTCTCAGTCACTTTTGGACATGAAGAACATGCAGTGTTTAGATTTAGCTGTTGGTAACTTTTAATTTCTCTTGGCTCATGGAGAATCCTGTATGGAATAACAATGTATTTTATCCCTGTGTTGATCATTTCCTTGCTCTTTATTTTTGCCGGAAACCATTTGACCTCATAGCTGCTGTTGCATAGCTAGAAACAGTACTTTAGTACCAACGTGAGGTTCAAGGTTGCCGGGCACATCTATGACAGGCCAGCAATTTGATTAGATTGAAGAGGAATCTTTGTTTTTCTGCTCAGTCCGTGACTAACATTCAGAACCACTTTGAGTGATATGGATCCATATACTCCTACATATATTCTTCTAGAGTTTTTAAAAGGTATTCTCCTTTATACCCTAGAGATTGTATTAGGAGAGTCCTGGAAAGAAAGATGAGCTTCAATCGGGAAAAATAACTGAAGATCGAACATAGCTACCTGGTGTCTGACATGAGGCCATCAACTATGTGATTGTTACCTGGTTACATTGCCTTGCTGCTTAATCCTGGACATTCCAAAAGTGCTCTGTTGGATTTTGTTTCATAACTATTACAATAAAAAAAACAGCTTTGATGGCTATTTCTATAATGAAATTATCGTGGCTGTCCATAACAGTCAACCCCTATGGATATTGTACCACTTCTATGTTAAGGTTTTTGAGATAATTCTTGGCCTTGACCCCTTTCCTTCATAGAGTGAAGATTTTTATCTTTTGCTCAGCTTACTGTCAAAGCATGTAGAATCTGCCCTTATTTTATCAATATTTGATCTTACCAGAAAGTATAATTTTAAACTGTTAAATCTAGCCCAACGTCAGGAAAACAGTATGTAGGATATGTATTCAATGTATTCCTCTAGAAACTAGGCCAGTGGTTGACATACTACAGCCCAGAAGGTGGCCACCTTTTGTTGTTGTTAATAAAGTTTTTTGTTTTTTTAACAGAGCAACATCCATGCATCGATGCTTTTTCCGTGATAGCTTTCATTCATCAATGGAAGTGTTGAGTGTCTGTGACAAACTGTTGGGCCTATAACTTCAAATCAACTCCAAACTCACTGCCATCAGTCGATGCCAACTCATAAGACCCTATAGAGTAGTGTAGAACCGTCCCTCTGAGTTTCCAAGGCTGTAACTATTTATGGTAGTAGAAAGCCCTGTCTTTCTCCCCGTGAAGCTGCGGGCAGTTTTGAACAGCTGACTTTGTGGTTAGCAGCCCGGTGTGCAACCACTAGCCACCAGGGTTCCCTGTTTGGGCTATAAGTCAAACATTTATCACTGAGCCTGTGAGAATAAGTTTGCCAGTCCCTGATCAAGATCATCTGGGGTTAACCTGATTCCCATTATCCTTTGCTTGTTGCCCTATCTGAAGGATCCCCAGATGGGCTTCTATGGTGTGTGAAGTCCCTGGAAGATTTCTACAAACTAGCAGGCACCAGTGTGTACCGCATGGTTTTCCTGGAAAAACACCTGTCAGAATCTAAAGGAATCCAGAGTCTAAAAGTGATCAAATATCTTTGTGTTTATTAGTTAAAATGCTAATTCCCTGTGTTGTGCTAGGTCATCAGGTCACAACCTTTTTAGTCTTAGAACCCTTTTATATATTAAAATGTTTTAGAAAGAGCCTTTGTTTGTTGCCTTGTTTGTTTGCGGTCAAGTTAGCCCCAGCCTCATGTGGCACCAAACCCACTGGAACAAGTCAGTTGTAAACCACAGGGTTTCAGAAGTAGGTTACCAGGCCTTTCTTCCTACTTTGTCCATCTGGAAGCTCCACTGAGACCTGTTCAGCAGCAGAGCTACAGTCAAGCTGCCACTGCAGGAAAGGGAAAAACTCATCATGGAATCACCAATCAGCATCTGTTTTGTGGGTTATCATTCATATTTACTATAGTAAAAGTTACAACAGAAAGTTTAAACATATATTAACTCATAATAAAATAACTGACCATTATATATATATTTACATTATATTACGACAGGTTTTTTTGTTGTTCTGTTTTGCAAATCTCTTCAATATAGTAAGCGATTCTTAAATCTCCATTCAATCTGTTGTGAGGCTATAGGTCATGTAGCTCTGGAAGCCTCTTCTGTGCACTCACAAGAGAATGAAAGTGAGAAAGGCAAATCACGTACTAGACTTACTATGAAAATAGCCGTGTCGTTGTGTCCCAAACGTTTCAGGACCCCCGCATCCCCCCAAGGTCCCAGAGCGCACGTGTTGAGATACCTGTGTACTCAGATTGCATTATTTTATCGCTCGAGTCTCTTCTGGTATTTTGGCAGCAGCATGCTCTGCTGCTTTGGAAGCTTGCTCTGCTATTTGTTGTTGGCATTTTGGGGAGGGATTTGTCCAGGACAGAGGGCCACATTGCACATTGTCCCTTGGAGAGAAACTGCAGGAGCCAGTTCTTTCAGATCTCAGTGCCAGTAAAAGCTGTGCTGCTGGTAGGTTTAACAATCATCTTAAAACAGACTTTCCTCACTAATCATACTCTCTGCTTTGGCAACAAGGGAGCTCAGAGCCTGCTTTTCAGGCCCCTTTCAGCCTTGTTTGTGTAGATCTGCATGTCTGTATACTTGTCTTATTGCCTTCCTATTTCCATTTCCCTTTTCCTTGCCCTCGGTTTCTTCATCTTGTTAAATATATGTGATGTTAAATAGCATATATTTAAGTTTATGTATTACATTATTGTTTTCTATAAATTCTTTGCAGTAAAAAATTTCCCTGTATCCTATTATTATGTAAAGCAGTTGTGTGAAACATTGGCATCCAGTCGATTATAGTGTCTGTTTTGATTGACAGGAAAATCAGTAAATCCCTTTCTTTTCTGGAAACTTGACTCTCCTTATCTGGAAATATTGCAACAGTGTTTTCTTTCATTACATACTACATACAGTACATTTACTTGGCAGTTTCTGTTAGTTACTACCTACCCATAGCCTTTCCCCTATGCCGTTGCTTCATTTATGCCTCACGCACACGTGTTCTGCTACCATTTTCATGCAGTCATAACAGGCATTCTGTGTGAGCCTGCTTTTGGAACTTCTGTGGGAGTTTTTCACATTATTCTTAGTGATGTGTGAGTGCTTTCGTCAGAGTGGCTCTGCCGAGGCCAAAGACAAGGGTTGTTGATTTTTGAACTTGAAAAATTTAAAGCAATAGCAACACATCTGAATTGTGGAGCTTCTAACTAATCGTTTGAGCCTGAAGTTAATTCAAGTACCTTATTTATGCCAAAGAACTCTACAAACAGACCAACAGCAATAATGTTAAGATCTGTGTTATATCTGCCCTTATTTCATCAGCTGGCTAGCTAGATGTGTTTCATAAAGGAGCCTATGTTGCTGAGACTTAGAGGCTTGGGGGGAATAATAAAGCATGCTATACTTCACGCAAAGTGAACTGGGTAGAAACAAAATGTTTTTATATAAAATAATGATTCTCGTGACTTTTTAAAAAGTAGACTTTGCATATCTGTTACTATATAGATGCTGTCGTTTCAATTTTCAGAAGACTGTGCAGTCTTTTTAACTGATGAAGAACAAGGCCTTGTCTTCCTGTAATTCTGAAGTCAAGTTGAGTCACCCAACAAGAAAACTAAATCCAGTTTAAATATAGGAATTAGTAATAGAATGCTGAAACAAACCTCTGGATTAGCTTCATTGGCTTTCCCGCTTCTTTTGCATCCCAAAGCATAAGCTTAAATCGTCTCAGAAGGACAAGGTCCGCCAGTTTATGGCATTTACGCAGGCTGGCGAGAGAACTGCTATTTACTGCTTAACGCAGAATGAGTGGAAACTAGAAGTGGCAACAGACAACTTTTTCCAAAACCCAGACTCATTCTACAAAGAATCCATGAGAAATTCAGTAGACAAGAAGAAACTAGAGCAACTCTATAACAGGTACAAAGGTAAGGCTGTTAATACTCAAAGCATTTTAAAAGTTGTAAACGTTAAAATATGTATAGCCGAATGAATGTTACATTTCTAGAATGTCTGATGCCTTGCACACAGAAAAAATCTCCTAGATCTTACTTCTTCACTTCCTGATATTCAGCTGGAAATCTGAAACGGTTGACTAAATAAAACAGAAGAGAGTCTCAAACCCACTGCTGTCAGTAGATTCCAACTCACAATGACCCTGTGAGACTGAGTAGAACTTCCAGTGTCCAGTGCTGCATGTCATTATGAATCAAATGGCCACATCTTTCATGAAGTGACCTGTGGGTTCAAACCACCAACTTTTCAGTTAACTGCCAAGTGCTTAACAACTGCAGCACCAGAGCTCCTGAAGCTTTGATAATTAACATAATTTAGGAATGAAATTAGAAGAGCCTAAAGACTTATCTGGACGTGAATCTCACTTGATTTGTGCAGCAAGTTTGATTACAGTTAGAAGGAGATTGTCATTGCCCTGGGCTGTACGGCCATGGCTGCATGATTATTTCTCTTAATACGGTATTTTATGTCAAGCACTGCTTTTAAGGCTGAGAGATTTATGGGTAAGAAAGGTTGCTTAAGAACAATATCATGAAACCAGAAGTTGCTGACTACCATTAGTGAATAATTTGATCAAAAACTCTATAGAATCTTGATGTGATTAGACTGAATTTGATGTGTGTATTATAAGCCAATAAAACCAACAAAAAAACCTCTGTGGAAGAATCCTGACCAAAAGGGGGAAAGTGCAGCACAGCATTTCAAATGCTCCCGGAATCCAGCTGTTCTGGAGCCATGGAGGCTGGTGAATCTCCAAAACTTAATAATTTTACTTAATAGTTTTATCCTGAGATCATAGATAGCCTTTACCTCAAAATACCCCTGAAGTCTTCTGAAAAATCTAACAGTAGTTTAGCTTAACGAGTGAATTGTGTGTCTTCAGCACTGTTTTTTCTTTAAGAACTATCTGTATGGGGTCAAACTGACAGCAGCGAGCTAGGGGATTAGTGAATTTGTGTTGGAGAGGAGGAACAGCTCAGGAAAAAGTAGGTGAGAAAGATTGCACCACTTGTGTGTAGTCAATGTCATGGGGAAGTGCTTGAATCGGCTTTCTGTTGTGTATATTCTCAACAACAACACCAAAAAGAACAATAAGATATCATGAAAACCTGAAGGGAAATAAAACGTCAGCTTTATTGAAACAGCATTGTAGTGTTTCAGCACTTAGACAATTTCAGATGTTTAAAGCTTGGGGGAAAGCTCTGAGCAAAGAAGCCGTTGTGTTGGAAATTGAGGACAATTTTTATTTTAATTCTTAGAATGGAACTTTTCCTATCAAAATACAATTGTGCTACAAAAATAAGTATACACTGATGAATACATACAAAAACGCAGCATGCTTTTATTTATTTATTTTGCAGTGTGCTTTTTATCTCAAACTTTAAATCTGGGCTTTATCAGGAGAGGCAGCAGTGTTTCAAGTGTTGACTTATTTTGCTTTTCCCTTCTGTTTAAAAGGTTAATCTTATATTTCCAAAATTTTAAAACCAGAAAAAGTAAAGTCAGAGTCCTGGTTCAACAACATATGCTATGGTTAAAAATAACTACGTATTGTAATTCTCAAAAAAATATGAGTATTTTCAAGGTTTAGAATACTTTGTAAATTTTTGGCTAAGTTATTTTTAGAACTGATTTTCTAAGTCATATACTATGCAAATGTTTAAGGCCAGGAAAATTATGTGCAGGGCATTTGAAAACACTTTTTATACAAGTGAATGTAAGACTTTATACTTTAATTTGAATTAAGTTAATCATTTAATTTCATTCTGATGGTGCTGGCATACTAACCACAAAATTGGTGGTTCAAACTCACCAGCTGCTCCAGAAGAGAAGTCTGAGTCTGTCTATTCTTAACAAGATCGACAGTCTCAGAAACTCTACATAGGGCCAGTATGAATTGGAATAAACTCGATGGCAGTGGGTCTGGTTTCATTGTTGTTTTGTATGCTTTAAGTTAATCATTTAATTTTATTCACATTCTAGATATTCTAAGTAGATCTATGACATGATATAATCATCTTAGACTCTAAAATATTAAGTTCAAAGCTGTTGTTAAATATAGCTAGTTTAAAATATGCATATATATAGCCAGTTATATGAATGTATGACAATGAAATGTTATATATAAAACCACTTTAAAATAATTAACAATATTGTATATGAAATTTACTCAAACTGTTTATTAAGTGAGACCATTGTAGACCAATTTCTTTATTATTCTTAAAATGTATAATGTTAGAAATATAGAATTGAGTGAAAGAATCAGTGATAATTCAGGATAAACTTTTGGTCTACCAATTCCACAGCTGAATTTGTCCTGTCGTTAGTATAGGAGAATCAAGTTGAATGGATGTTTATTTTTCTATTCATTGAATTTTGTGTCTTTTCTTCGGGAACAACGTATCCATAGATATGGTAGTAGTATATAGTGTTTGAGGAGTCCTGCTGGCCATGCACTGAGCTGCTAAGCAGATAGAGGTATGCACCTACCAGACAGATGAGGCTGTCTACTTCCATCAAGATTCAGAAAAAGTCTCAGAAACCCAAATGGGCAGTTCTACCATATCTTATAGAGTCGCTATGAGTCAGAATCGATTTGATAGCCGTGAGCTTGGCTTGTTTTTTAACATAGTACTTAGGAGACCCTCAGGAGCGCTGGTAGCATAAAGGGTAAGTCGTTGGGCAGCTGACCACAAGGTCAACAGTTTGAAACCACCAGGCACTCCTCAGGAGAAAGATGAGACTTACTACTCCCATAGAGATTTATAGTCTCAGAAACCCCTAGAGTAGGATGACCAGATTTAAAGCGGGACCCCATTGATTAAAAATTTGGTCTATATGGACCAAATAGACCGTTCCCTACCTTGTTGTGCATTCTTTCCAAAAATTGGGACTTTTTTAAAACGCCAACAATCAGGACTGTCCCTCCCAAAGCAGGACATCTGGTCACCTTACCCCAGAGCCAGTTCTACGCTGTCCTATAGGCCATTGCGAGTCGGAATCAGCTCAGTGTCCGTGAGTTTGGCTTGTGTGCTCAGCTGTTAGCACAAAGGATGACTTGTGAACCCACCCCAAGACACCTCAGAAGATGAACGTGGTGACTGCTTCCAAAAGGGCACTGCCTTAAAAACGCCATGGCAGCTCCACTCTGCACACATTGGGTCACCATGAGTTGGAATTGACTCAAGGTAACTAACAAATAGTCCTTAAGTGACCAAAGCTAAAGTTTGTATGAAGAAGAAAAGTTTATCACGATCTTCTGTTTGAGCCAAGTGTTAAACTTTCTATTAGTACATTGTATACCAGTTACACATACATTATGATATGATGTTAGTGGGATTCAAAAAGTTTGTGGGGAAATGGAATTAAAAGGTAATGGAATTTTCCCATCCAGTGTTCATTTTGAAGCCCCTTTGCATACTCAGTCTGTCTGAGATGGCTTGACCTACTTTGGTGACATCTTGCTGGGATGCTTTCAACAGAGTTTACTATTTGATTTTCTATTAGAGAATACTAAAATCTTTTATGTTTAAACTAGACATGGAAGGGAAAGTCAGACTTTCTAAACTGTGTACATAAGGTAATTGATTATAAAAATAATTGCTGTACAGCGGCATTAGAACTAGTAAATAAAAAACAGTAAAAAGAAAAAAATTCAATAGATCTTTGCTTTGGCAGGATTGGGATTAGAAACTTAAAATATAAACACCAATACTGTATCATTCTTAATAGTTTGCCTTTGGGCCAAGTAAAATTCTGTAAACATGAATTTTTATTTTGTTTCAGGGAAGATAAATTGTTTCTTTTTTTTTTTAGGCACCCTCTGGCAAAAGGTAAATTGTTCCCTAATAGTGAAGTCTTCTCAAAGCAGTTTCAATGATTTTACACACACACGCACACGCACACGCACACGCACACGCACACGCACACACCACCCTGAATCCAGAAACCTACATTTTTTTTAAAATGACACTAGTTTCTGGGTAGGTTATTTGTTACTCATCATTTTTTTTCTGTACAGTACAAAATTGCAGTTTATTGATTGATGTATTTGAAACAGCCTTGCCATACCCCGTAAACTAAGATTCTAACCATTCACTTTAGCAATACCTTTAAAAATGATATAACTTTTCCTCCTTTAACTGTAGATCCACAAGATGAAAATAAAATTGGAGTTGATGGGATTCAGCAGTTTTGTGATGATTTAAGCCTAGATCCTGCCAGCATCAGCGTTTTGGTTATAGCATGGAAGTTCAGGGCAGCTACGCAATGTGAATTTAGCAAAAAGGAATTTGTAGATGGCATGACAGAGCTTGGGTAAGTTGTTCTCCGTTTAGATTTCCCCCCACGCCCCCCGCCCCAGCTATTTTTAACATTGTTTTTCAAAAAAGATTAATCTGATGTGTATTTTCTCTGTGTATCTGGGAAATGCCTTATACACCCACACTGTTAAGGCTTATCTTAACTTTCTACATGAATCCCTTTTATCACTTGTTTTCTTTTTTTTTTTTCCTGCCAAATTTTGAATTAGTAGCAAACATCAAGGATATATTTTGTTTGCTTGTCTTGTCATTCAGTTCATTTCATAGTACTGTGTACTAAGTGTGTAGTTTTCTGCTTTGCTACATTAAATATTAATACAATCTCATTTTGTTTTAGGCTGGTAACAATTCTGTTTTATATAGAAGTGTTGATTTTTGTTTTTTTCCTTTCTTTCTTGTCATTTTAATAACTGCTTGCCTCTTCTATAATGCCACACACACATGCAGCTTTTAGATCATTGAAAAACGTTGAGTCATTTCTCCAAAGCCTTAAGTTCCCAAACATGGCTAATCTTTGGAATCACCTCAGGATTCACTGATACAGATCTCTGAGCTCGCTCAGGAGAAAGATGAGGTTCTCTACTCCTGTGAAAAGCTGACAGTCTTGGAAACCCATAGGGACAGTTTTACCCTGTCCTAAAAGGCTGCTATGACTCGGCATCACTCTTAGTGAGTGTGGTGTTTGGTTTGGGCCTCTGTTTTCAGCCTAATGAGTCAGAATCTTTAGAGTGAGGAGCCCACAGGTCTGTAGTTTCATCAGATCCCCGGGTGATTCCAATGATCAGCCAAGGTTAAGACCTCATCTCTAAAAACTCAAAACCAAACTTACTACCATTGAGACAATTCTGACTCATGGCAACCCTATAGAACTGCCACTGGGTTTACAAAGCTGTAAATCTCTATGGGAGCCAAAGACCTCACCTTTCGCCCTCAAAGTAGCTGGTGGTTTAGACCTGCTGACTTGTGGTTAGCAACCCAACTCATAATCCTCTATGCCGCCAGGACTCCTTAGATTCTTAAGTAAAGCTAAATAAAGACTCAATCGTTGTCCCAACTCACCTACACATTCTTAAGACATAGAGGTGAATCTCATTTATACCCTGAGGACTGACTGTATTTAAATGATAAAGCCTCTACGATTTTATTTCTAGTATTACCGCATTCCTGGTAGTTATATAAAATCAAGCAAAACCAGCATTAAGACAATGATGTAACATTTAGCATATTCCATTCTCCTTGTACTTAGGAAGAGCCCTGGGAGTGAAGTGGGCTAAGGGGTGGGCTTCTAACTGCAAGGTCAGCAGTTGGAACCAATCAGGCACAGCACAGGATAAACACGATGCTGCCTGCTCCTGTGAACATTCAGTCTTGGAGACCTTGTACAGCATTTCTACTCCATCTGATAAGGTCACCATGAGTTGGAATCTGCTTAACAGCAACAGGTTTGGGTTTGTTACATAGGAAAGCCTAGATGAATCCTAGTTTTAGAATAAAAAATTTAGAATGGAAAACCCATATTGAAAAAGAGTCCTGTTGGTATTGGAATGGATATTATCCCATCTATTAAATGTGCCTTAATTGGGAAGTTTTAGAAATCAGTGCTTATTATGAAAACACTTATTAGCATTTCGTATGTATTATCTAAAAATATGTTATACAAGAGAATAGTTTTTTATTTTTTAGTTCTTAGCTATTATTTTTCCAAATGCCATAACTTATAAAAGTATTCTAAAGATTTGGCGTCTAAGTCTTTCAAAAATATATTACATAATTTCTTATATAGAAACTATGAAAAATAGTCTGTAATTTAAGGCCACAAGCTCATGGGGGGGGATAATATTACTTACTGCTGGTCGTATCCTACAGAGCAGTTAAAGGTGACAGAATTTTGTAAATATGAAAGCCACCCCACTGCTACTTAGTCCATTCTGGTTCATGGCAACCCCTTAAGGAGAACCTTCCCCATATGGTTCTCGGGGCTGTAGTGTTTATGGGAGCAGACTGCCCCATCTTTTTGATGCAGAATGGCTGGTGGGTTCAAGTTGCTGGACTTTCAGTTAGCAGCCACGAGTCGTCACTACTCACTGCTGCCAGGCTGCTGTCAGTGGAAAGTGTTGCACAAAGTCCAAGTAGCTTAAATGTCTTCTGCACTGTAAATGGTGACGTCAGTGTTCTTGAGTGTATAAAGGACTATGCCTCTTCTTGTCTCAATAGTGCTTAGTTTTAACAAAAACTTTAGCTGTTGTGTTTGCTGTAATTGTTTTTTTCATGCTTTTTTCTTTCTATCATTGATTAAATTACCTGTCTTTAACTGTTACTCCTACACCCTTTCATTAAGGGCTTGAGAATTCTTAACATAAGATTTCTGAGCTTGATGGTTAGAAATGTACCAAATAATGTAGACCAACCAGTGTGGTGGTCCAGAAACTCTGCTGGAAGGCGTTAGAGTGCTAAGGGTTGGTGAATGGTGAAATAGCTCCCAAGAAGTGAAATTAATGTTCGCGGATGCTTTCACTCTGAAGGCATTTGCCCTTTGTCTTGACACCATTTTATGAGAGGAGAAATGAAAATTGGACAACGAAAGAGTACAAAAATTAGAGCCGGGAACCTGCCAACAGTAAAGGCCTGGATAATTTTTCTCACACTCGAGTTTGAAATCAGAAGGCCTGTTCCCGGGTAAGGGAAAACTGCTAGTCCTGACAGGAATTGCTCTCCGGCTCAGGTCATGTGGGTGGCCTAGAAAATATCAGTACCTAAAATTGGAAGAAGGTAATTTCAGATTGCTAGTGCTCACAGGTGCCTGGCAAAAGTAACTAAAAATGCTATTTGTGTGCTTGCTTCAGCAGTGCGTATAATAAAGATGGCATTTCGAAAAAGAAACTAGCCTACATTGCTTCTACAAAATACTCTCCCAGTACGGTGTCCAGCACAAAATCAGAAATAAATAGGACTATGAGGAAATGGACACAGTGGAAATGGACTCACGAAGGTTGCACCTGATATAAAATGTTTTTAATTTTAAATAGCTTGGCTCTTTTTGTTCAAGAGGTTTAGAAATTGTCTGAGAATAAAACATGACTTAAAAATCACATAGCAGACCTAGAAACTATTAAAATTGACCATCTTGTAATAAATGAACAAAGTAGGAGGACTTAATACAATCCAATTTCATGACCTTTTCAAAGCTAGACTATTGGAGACAATGTGGTTTTGGGTTAAAGACAGATAAATCTACCTATGGAACACAATGGAGAATCCAGAAATGGATTCAAACATATTGGGTTGAGGAAGCAGTTACCCTGGAAATTAGAAAATATTTGTGATTAAATGAAGAAACACTACATGTCAAAAGTTTGTAGGATCCTGGTTTTTAATGTGTGCTTTAGAATGAATGAAGGGTAAAAATCAGCTAAATGTATATCTCAAGATGTAGAAAAAAAGAGAAAATTAAGCTCAACATATAAGGAAGTAATTAATTTTAAAGCATTAATTTAATTAAATAGAAAGCAATTAGTAGAAAGGATCAATAAAGCCAAACCTTTGTTAGTCGAAGACTCAAATGACAACAAATCAATATAAAATGAAAAAGGGAACATCATTGCTGAGTCCAGTAAATAATAAAAGGATGAGTATATATTAACACTTTGTGCCAATAAGTCTTACAGCCTAAAGTAAACAAGAAATTGTTTAAAACACAAAACGTATCAAGCCAACAGAAGAAGATACAGAAAATCTTAGTTCTGTAATTCTTTTTTTTTTTAAACCACACAATAAAACCCTTTATTTTGGTTGCTATTTATTTCCAGGGAATTGATAGGCATGCTTCTAGGGCAAAAGAGTCAAAGAGAGCCAGTGCCCAGGGGACTCGAAGAGCACACGGCTACAAGACACATGTGAAGCTGGCAGAGCTGGCAGAACATAAGTGTTCTTCCTAATCCATTTAGCCAAAACGACTATCCCTAGATCTCTCAGAACAGGGAAGTAGGGACTGTTTTTCCTGGAGTTCTTGGACTCATAAAGTACTTTGGAAGCTTGCCTTTCTTATTGCTATTGATGTTATTTTGTTGTTGTTGTTGTTTTGTTTTGTTTGTTTTAATTATTTTATTGGGGTCTCATACAAGTCTTATCACAATCCATACATACATCCATTGTGTCAAGCACATATGGACATTTGTTGCCCTCATCATTCTCAAAACATTTGCCTTCTACTTTAGCCCTTAATATCAGCTGCTCATTTTTCCCCTCCTTTCCCCCTCCCCCTCCCTCATGAACCCTTCATAATTCATAAATTATTATTGTTTGGTCATAAGTTACACTGTCCGACGTCTCCCCCCTCCCACCCGCCCTCTTCTCTGCTGTCCATCCCCCAGGGAGGAGGCTATATGTAGATTCTTGTAATAGGTTCCCCCTTTCTACCCCACATTCCCTCCATCCTCAGGCACCGCCACTCTCACCACTGGTCCTGAAGGAGTCGTCTTCCCTGGATTCTGAAACTAAACCCATCATTTAAAACTCACAGAAAAAACTCCTAGCTTGAATGCTTTTGCTGGCAAATCGTAGAGGAAAATAAAAGAGAATCCTTTTGTGGCCTTTCAGTAGCAAAAGCTTTAAAACAACAACAAACCCTACTAATTTTACAGAACTTCTTCCAGAGATTAGCAAAGAAAACACTCCCTAATTTATTTTGGAGCCAGCACAGTCTTGATAGCAAATGTAGGGGACATTTTGAGGTTGGAAAATTATAGACCATTCTATAAGAATCAAAAGTTACATGAGATAAAAATCCTAAACAAATCATTGGTAAACTAACTCCAGCCCCTAAATCAATAACAAAAAAATCAGAAAACAGATCATGATAAAGTTTGTCATAGTTCACTAATACAAGATTTGCTTAACCTATAAAATCCATTTAATTTGGCATGTTTCTAAGAAAAGTGACAAAAGTACTTATCTCAATACACAAAGCAGGTTTGATAAATGAACAAAGTAGGAGGA